GGGTCTTCTAAACATGTATCCAATCATAATATGCCAAATCACTGTAAGTGCTTCAGCCGGGGCCTTGGCTCAACTAAGCAGACTGGGTTGCTGAGTTGCTAAGCAGACAATTCTACATCGAAGGCAATTTCTGATTTGTTTTAAGGTTGACTCTCTGAGACATGCAACACTGCAGAACCTTTTGTTGTTGGAACAGGGACATGGATGTGAAGAGTTTGATGGAATGTGTTGTATGAGTCTCTCTGATTATGCTAATTCGATGCATGCACAGCTGAGAACCCTGGCTCAGCTTACCCAGCAATAGTAAATGAGCAATATCCTAAGAATAACTAGATGGTTGTCACCGGGCATTACAGGTTGAGTCAAACACTGTTGCTTGAAGCATTGCACTTATGTATCATTGTTAGGTTAATCATCGTAGCTATTAAGACTTGTTTATAGTTGTGTGATAAAACAGGTGAACAGAATAACCCATAATGCCTTGCTTGCACAAAGAAAAAGGGGGGAATTGTTGCAGAATGACTTTAAGAGCAGAACCATAGAGTTCTGGAGGACTGTGCAAGCAAGGCAGGGGGTGGCCCTCACAGGTGGACAGAGACCGGACCTGGGAGGAGAATGTGGAGGAAGCTGTGGGGGCTAACCAATACTGTTATGCCACGAAGGAGTGGCTGAATACCACTCCTATATATGTGTGAACTGCGTCACAAATAAACTAGAAGTTGCTTATCACCCATATTGGGTTGGCCTGTCTGCTTCTCCTCGCCGCTTACAGTTTCCTATTCTATTTTGTACTTTCACAGTATCTCTTTGACACACATGAAAAAATGGCAATAAATGGTAATAAGTACACAGATCAAAATTCACACAGGAATAGTACCATAATTTGCTTTGTAGTAAGTATGAGATGATCAATTTCAACATTAGTGGACTGAAACATTGTAAAGTATCTTATACCAGAAGTCATATTCTTTTTTTATATTGTTGTTTATCTAGTCACCTCAAAATCCTAAAAAGACTGTAAGGGAAGATATCCTTTTATAACAGACCTTTGGAGAAATGGTATGTAATACATACCTTGCTGTTTACGTGGCTCATAAATCTGGAGTCCAAACAAAGGTGGTCTCTCACTTCTTAACAGCGTCACATTCCTTGTAACCAAATCCAACTGGAAAATTGACCCATTCATATAATCTGTCCAGTAAATATAATTTCCATGATGTGACAATCCAAAAGGATGATTCAAATCTTTTCCATTATAGACTACCTGCAATTAATTAATGGAAAGTGAGTACTGGCAAGGTTAAAATAATTTTTTTCAGCAAACACTGGAAAGAACATAGGAAACAGTATAACTGAGACAAGTAGTGTGCCCAAAAGCGAACGCTTCAGCCAGTAAAACCAAATAAAGAGTGTAAAGCCATTCTATGCATTCAGCATTCATTATCTAACTTCAAAACTTTGTATAAACTTATTTTAAGTGTCCCCTGTCAGGTATTGTAGGTGAACATGTAATCATTATATGCAGTAAAGAGGTGATCCTGCCCCTTTACTCTGCTCTTGTGAGACCTCATATGGAGTATTGTGTGCAGTTCTGGTGTCCTCAACATAAAAAGGACATGGAACTGTTGGAACAAGTCCAGAGAAGGGCCACGAGGATGATCAGGGGACTGGAGCACCTCCCGTATGAAGATAGGCAGAGAAAGTTGGGGCTATTCAGCCTGGAGAAGAGAAGGCTGTGTGGAGACCTCATAGCAGCCTTCCAGTATCTGAAGGGGGCCTATAGGGATGCTGGGGAGGGACACTTCATTAGGGACTGTAGTGACAGGAGAAGGGGTAACGGGTTAAAACTTAAACAGGGGAAGTTTAGATTGGATATAAGGAGGAAATTCTTTCCTGTTAGGGTGGTGAGGCACTGGAATGGGTTGCCCAGGGAGGCTGTGAATACTCCATCGCTGGCAGCTTTCAAGGCCAGGATGGACGAAGCCTTGGGTGAGATAGTTTAGTGTGAGGTGTCCCTGCCCATGGCAGGGTGGCTGGAACTAGATGATCTTAAGGTCCTTTCCAACCCAAACTATTCTATGATTCTAAATATGCACCTCCTTCCCTAGCAAGGAAGCACAGTTCTTACAGCTTTGAGTATCTGTCAATATCTGACAAATCTGGCAAATATCTGCTTCTTTTAAAGCAAAGAATAGCGTGTATGAGTTGCTAATTTTGTTTCAGTGTAAATTGCAGATTGCTTATTTGTTTCTGTGAACTTCCTCCCCAGTTTGGGTTGTGAGAACTTAAGAAAAGCACACCACGGTTTCTTCCCAAAATAAGACAAACTTTTTTGAATGTACCTTCTACTTCTCGTTTCTTAATTCATACATAAAGCTAAATTACACCCCAAATCTTGTCTTTGTTTCATTAGCTGTAAAATGTTCTAAAAACCATGTCACTTGTGACAGCTCCAGTCTCAGACTCCTTCACAAGAACTGCAACTACCTGTACACAAGAGCTGTCAGATAAACATTTAAAAAATGTTAAATCCCTGTAGAATGAAAACATTAAAAAAAAAAGTCTAAAGTCATCAGCAAGTAAATTACAAGAATTAGAATTATTTATTTCACAAAGACACAGAAGACTGCAGAACTCTAAAACGTCTACTGTTGGGATCCCTGCATCCCAGCAGCTGCAGTTTGGAATGACTGAATTCCACTCGTCTTCTGCTGCCTGGGGCCCTTGCTTATGCTAACACCCAACACTGCATTTCTACCTTGTCTCTAGAAAAAAGGAAGCAGTTCATCAGATGCCCAACCTTGTGCCTATTTAGAGACATGAACCCAAAAAACCAAGGAGATAAAGCCACCTAAAATACAACTACTTTGAGGTGACAAACATCATCCCCTTTTGCGCTTCAGATTTTTTCTTTGGGTTTGGAATTCTTTTGGTCAAAACTCCTCATTCTCAATAAGCTGCTTTTGATCAAAATTTGTCTATCATTCAATTATCCACCCGACTACTGGTGGAAGTCCTGTAGGACTTTCCCACTCCCCAAAACCTTCCCTGCACTGACAAAGAATTAAAGATCCTACTGACCCAGTTATATTTTGGCCAAAATATCCTATAATTAGCAACAAATGATTCAGGATCAAAAGTATCTTCTACTTATTTTTGGTTAGACACCTTTTATTAAAGTAGTTCTGCATTTTATTAAAATCACAGGATTATGGAAAAATACTTTAAAAAAAAACACCAGAACTATTCTGTGTCACAGTCACACTTCAAAATAAAACCTGTTAAGATAGGTGCTTACTATTTACTACTTCTAGTAAGAGACAAAACAAGCAAACCCAGCATTACCCCACATGTAATCTGTATCAGCTGCATTTAACCTTCCTTGACCTGTTCTGTCCAGGAACTCTCCACGAAGCCTAGCATTGTTAGTGGACAAGGATCTCTAATTAAAAACTGTCTTTCTGCCAATGTGCTTAGCCACATCCCTGCTTCGTTATAGGAGCATAATGGATGTGGAGCAAAAGTAGAAACACCAAATGTAAATCCTAACCCAGCCATTATGACAAATGAAACACTACAGCATTAGTACAGGCTTAACAACAGATCACTCAATATAAAGGATTTTAAAAGTAACATTAAAACACTATAAGCTTGTACATGAACGAGTTCCAGGGACTCTGTCTACAGTTACTACTTTGAATACTAGAAATCTGCATATTGTCCTATTAAGGCCATCACGCCAAGAGAATCATGAGTTGAGGATAAATGAAAAGTCACTAGACATACATTTTGTGACAAAATCCCCTCACAGGAGAATTTATTGCCTGCCATTCTCAATTAACAGTGACTTCTCAGTTGTCAGGGTACTATTTTTCTGGAGCAGATGGTAAACCCTCCCAAATTATCAGACTCCAGTCTCAGCATTAACTGTTTTCCAGATGTCTATTCTGTGCTTGTTACTTCTACAAAACAAGACAGAACTTCTACAGAGACTTATATCTAGCTAGCACAGCCATCAGTAACAACTAAAACAATATCTCTCCATCTCTGACTGAACTGTTGAGTGCTTCTGCTCCTTATATTACCAGAAATGCTCAACTGGGACATTGAGATTCATTGAAAACAGCTTATCCAGTAAAGTTAAATAAAAGACTTTTGGTTCTGTACGAGAGTGAAGGTTTATTTCTACTGAAAAGCTCTTTGTAGCTTTGTGGCTCAAACAAAATGTAGCTCATTGGCATATGAGAAAAATAGATTAAAAATAAATAAACTTTTGTGTCACTTTCTAAAGATGAAAATTGTAAGCTGCATGATAGTCTTCTACAGGAGTCTGCCAACATTGCTTGTTTCAGAGACTACACTGGACATGCCACAGGGTTATGCAGACTTTAAAAAGCTTGAAAAGTATTTTTAACATAACATAATAAAATCCAGAGAAATAGAATGCCTGTGGCAAAACAGCAGTATTTTTCTTTTACCTTTCTGTCAGTTCCATTCAAAAATATCCTTTCAATGTGATCATAATAGGCATCACACCAGTATAACACATTGGCATGATAGTCCAGAGTTAAACCATTTGGCCATAGCATCTTTGATGTTACAAAAATCTGCCGACTGTAGCCATCCATCCATGCCTTCTCAATTCTTCCCACGTTGTCATCCATTTCATCTTCTTCCCAGTCTGTCCAATACATCCAGCTATGAAATTATAAAAATGAGCATTCAGATACCACTTAGTCACATGAATTAGCAGACTTTCAGCAGCAGTTTGCAACAGCAGATCCACAAGACAAAGCCATTTTAACTTTCGCATGTTTCTTTCCACAACTGTATTTACTTTCCCTGTGTACTGGATGCTCCTGAAATGACACACTGTTTTGCCCTTACTGTAATGAATTACATGAATACCAAATGGGCTGACAAGAAAAGTGAAAGAATTGTTTAAGACTTTATTTAATCACACAATAATGATGATTTTTTTTTTTAACCAGCAATTTTATTGACTTTATCAAGGTTCAAACTTTTACTGTGTTTTTTTTTTTTCAATCCAAGTCCAATTTGCCTTTATGATGCAAATCTGATTCTTATTATGGTTAATACTATCACAAAAGCTGCAACACATGAATTAATTGTACTCTGACTTAATAGCTAAGGATAACCTTGACATTCTGTGAACTTCAGATCCCACCTGAAAGCAGCCAAATTAGTCAAAAAACATATTACGAGTACTCTGTCCCTCACAACAAATGTTTAGAAAGATTGGCTATAAAGATTATTTGAAAAATAGCCAGAAGGCAATTTTAGCATGGCTTTATGGTTTATAGTGCAGCAATGCAGATAACAAACACCTCTGAAAAATGCTATTCGGAAAGGTTAAGCAAACACTGTAGTAAGTCATCTAAAAGTATTAGCTCAGATGAGTTCCCAAGAGTTTTTCTCTACTGGACACTACAGAACACATGCTACAGGGTTTTCTTCAGTTGCCTTTTTTACCTTCTTGAATTAATCTTGTTATCATATTTTATTACAGAATTTACTTGTGACAACTTTCAGTTCAACTATTTAAAACACACCTTGAATTTAAGCAAAAGCAGAGGGTAGAAAATATGCTAAGAAACACCACATTTTTCTTACTTTTTCCCCCCACAAAGCAAAAACAGATTGATGATAAGAAACACAGAGTCCTGTATTTAAGCTACAAAGCAATTAAAAAGCATTTCTGCTTATATGATACACAGCGATACCAATATACTGAAACCATTTACTAGCAAGTAAATGCTTACTTTTAGGATTTCAATTATTAAGCATTAAGTAGAGGGAAAAAAAAAATCTCATACCAATCTTAAATAGATCCTACTTCTTGAAGTTGTCATGATTTAATTGGTATTTATGTGCCCTGGCCTTTGATTTTACCAGGTTTATGTTTCTGAAATAACTTGTATGACCCTAACCTACTCCACCTGTCTGTACTTTAAAGAATAAAGTCCTGGGATTTAAATTCTTAATTTACAAAGGAATGAAACATTGAAGTGAAAAATAGTTTTGTTATCAGATCTGTGTAAATCATGCCAAATCTACTGGTTAAAAAAAAAAATAAATAAATCAAATACACTTACATGTATAAGCATAATTTGATCCATTTTGGTTTTATGTAAGAAAATGGAAAAGATACAGAAAAAATGCATCATTATTACACAGGTTTACACATATGTATATGTATCATCTTTGTTTCTTTTCTCTCTTCTCCAAGTCACCCACCAGAAAGCAGTTTGGGGTTATTATTTTTGTAACTGTATGTTAAGAACATCAACCAATTTTTGATCCGGGAGGCTCATACACTTCAGTGCATGTTTGACTAAAACACTAGGTTTAATCACGGAATTATAAAACCTGCGTATGGCCTACAGCTCAGGCAGACAAACAGGTCCGTATGGTATTTATTTTACTGAAAGATAAAAATGTTTCACAAATATTTACATGACTGCTCAACAGCAATAACTGAGCTTTTCTCCATTAACTTTTTGTCTGTACTTATTATAGTTATCATGTCATAAGCTAAAACATGCTTACAGTAACAGGCATTTACATTAATGTACTTTAATTGTATCTCAAAACACAGCTAATGCTTCCAACACTGGTTAAATCAAGACTAATATTTTCTAAACATAATTAAAATGCCATAATAAATGTTATCCCTCATGAAAAGCTCCCATGAGAAGTATAATCATGAAGGGCACACTTTTATTAGAAAATTGTTTTATATAATAGCCCTTTTCAGACAATACATCTTCATATGCTATTTCCTGTGGCATGCATTTACTGAGCTGGAAAATTTAACAAAGTAATTGTAGGTATGGTTATGGTTTGCGGTCTGATTTTACATCCTTACTATGTGACCTCAATTAATCATAGCCTCTCCACAGTTACTTCCATTCCTCAAAGAACAAGCTCAGAAGTGAGAAACTGGTAGTGTAAATACATTCTAGCACTAGGAAAACAGCAATCAATCCAGCCTCCCTAGAATTACCCACTACATCATTCTCCAGTGACAATTCCCTGAATAAATTTAACAGTGAATTTTTACGTAAACCACAACTACACCACAGTAATATAATGTCCTTTTTATTATGCAGCCTATCACAATTAATTACACTATTAAGTAATGAAAAATAACCTGTCCCATTTACTTTTGTAAACGAATCTCTACAAGCATATGGTTATAATTACCTTCAGAAATTGAAACTTACAAAGAGAAAAATAAAGGAGAGCATTATAAAGTTCACTTAGTATTAAAAATACACACAGTCCAATACATTCAATTTGAGAAAAAGGTGAACCATATCCAGATTAACTGGACATAGGCTCAGCAGCACCTGGGCATTCTTCCGAAGGCTTCAGGCAAGAATGCTGGAAAGGTTTTACAGATATTATAGACCACTGTAGAATTACAGACTACTATATAACTCTGTGAACCCCATCCTAAGCAAAATTCAGTCCCATATTTATACTAAAAGACAAGCATTAAACCACATAAATTAGTCTACTTCATACCCATTGACAGGATCAACCACAATTCCTCTCGGGTGCGACATGTCTCCCTCCAACAAAGTTTTTCTGCTCTGAGAAGCTTTTTCCAGCCTGGCTACAGCAATGGTTTTCCTGTGGCCATCATTTGTCCAATAAAGATTATTTCCAATCCAGTCCACTGCTATGCCTTCTACATTATCAAGGTCTGTGGAGAGAAAAAGGTAGTAAGAAATTAATATTGTATGTTTATGTTCTAACATCATCCATTAGTATAAACAATGAAGAATATATGGTCGATATAGCTAAATTATACTATTTCCTTGAATCTGAGTAACATCTACTTGTGCCAGTCAGAATTAGTTCTGCTGAAAGCACCCTATAAAAGACAAAGGCTGGTCATAAAACTTGGCTATTAAACATAAGCTTTCATATGTTAACCATAGCTGGCCCTGGGCAAATCACTATTTAACAAAACCCTACTTAATTTAAAACCAAAATGGAAATACTACTCAAGTCAACAAAAGCTTCTAGAATCAGTTCTAGTACCCCAAATCATCTTGCTTTTACCCAAATCACAAGATCCACTCTTATTAATAAATAAACAAAATGGACCTCTGTTCCATTGTCCTTTGGCCTTGCAAAACATGTAAGCAAAAACATCACAACAGTCCAAGTTACCCTCCATGTCTAAGCAAATATACGAGCAAACTACTCACTATAAGGGTGGTGAAGCACTGGCACAGGTTACCCATAGAACCTGTGGCTGCCCCATCCCTGGCAGTGCTCAAGGACAGGTTGGATGGGGCTCTGAGCAACCTGGTCTAGTGGAAGATGTCCCTGCTCATAGCAGGTGGCTGGAACTAGATGGTCTTTAAGGGCCCTTACAATCCAAATCATCCTATGATTCTATGAAACTACTGACACTGTAGCGCAATCACAGAATCATAGACCAGTTACTGTTGCAAAGGACCTAAAGATCATCTAGTTTCAACCCCCCTGCAATGGTACCACTGGAGGTACCAATAGGCTCAGGAGTTTGGCAGGAGCAGAGCTCTATCCAGAACTGAGTCAACAATGTTTGCTGCACAGAGCATGGAGGTTTTGCCATCTGAGAAGCAGCAAAACAATTCTCCAAGCAGCAAGTTCTGCCTCAAGCTTCCTCAACACCCTGTAACAATAACTGAGCTCTGCCTCCTCCCACACAATCCCAGTTCCTTAACTGACAATGTAAGATCTTTAAACAGTTCCTCTTTAAACATGTCTCTTCCACCAAACCCTTTCTTTTTTTTTTCCTCCTTTCAGTAAGAGCTCAAATTCCAAGCATGTGGGTTGAAATATGGAGAATTTCCAGTCATTTTCTCTTGGCTTTTGTTGTGGTGTGGTCACTGAGGCAACACAAGTTCAGGTATCACCCCTTGTCATGCAGTTGATCTTATGCCAGCCCTCATCTTATGCCATGGCCTTCTCATCTACAGGAGAATCCTACCTTTTGCCAGCTGACACAAAATGGTAGGATTACCAGAGGTGCTGTAACACCAAGGGGTGCAATGGAGCTTGAAGTGTAGCATGAGTGGCCACAACCTTCTTTACTCCTACTCTCTCACCTTTAAACAGGCTCTAGAAGCACAAACACCAGGCACTTCCTCCACCCTTTTCCTCAGCCCCTCCATGGTATATTTCGATGGGCTGGACGCCGCCGCGGCTCCATGCGCCCCTCCACCAGCCGGAACCAAACCCCTCCTGAGCTCAGCTGGGTTGTACTCACAACCACCAGCACAACCCAAGCTCCCACCGGCAGCAGCTCGGCTCGCACCGTGTTACAGGCCCCGTTCCAACTTCAAAGGGAGGGGTTGGAGCACTAACAGCCCTATTCGCAGGCCAGCCCAGCTCGGCTCTGCTCGGCTGCTCCAGCCCCTCCCTAACAGCCCGATTCGGCGCACACAGCTTGGCAACACCCCACTTCGCTTCCCTTGACCCCTTGTCCTTTTGGCGCCTACTAAAAAGCCCTGTCAGAAACACAGACCCCTCCCCCACTCGCTTCCTCCGAGGCGGCTGGGAGCCAGTGCACGGCACTCGAGAGAGACCTGAAGGACGGGCTACCAGCTGCTGCCTCTCGGCGCCCATTAAAAGCCCTGTCAGAAGCACTGGCCCCTTTACCATTCGCTTCCTCAGAAGCGGACAGCAGCTAGTGCACAGCACCCAAGAGAGTGCTGCCCCTCGCCGCCTTCCGGAGGTTGAGGGAGCCCCACCGGTTCGCTTTGGTATCCTTCTTGAGAGCAAACTGGGCATGGAACCACTCGTTTCACTGTTACCTTGTCTGGTACCTTGTCACTGGGATTAAAAACCGATAACGGGTAACAGCTGTGACTGCAGTGCTTCCACCGAGCCTGAGAGCTCACAGCACCGAATGGGTGCAAAAATGAAGGTTGGTATGGCTGGAAAGGTGAAAAGGAAAAAAAAACCCAAAAAAAAAACAAAAAAAAACAAACAAAACTGCATTAGGGGAAAAAAAAAAATCAAAAAACCTTTACTAGGATGCTTCTTGACAATATGGATGTTATTACTTATTTGTCATACTCAGATATACAATCCTACAGTACAATTTCCATGATAGGAATCATCAAGATGTGAAAAAAAGGAATGTAAATTGCTTTTTCTGTTCACATTTATGCCAGCAATACCACCTAGACACAAGCTTTCATCAGTTTCATTCTTCTTCACCAGCGTTGATGTCACTTGCTGATCAACACTGGAGTTTAATTTTTTTTTTAAAGACTTTCTCAGAACAAGTATGATGCAGAGAGATTTTCACTGTAATATACAAAAAGAAAAAAAAAGTCTTATAATTTTTTAGGAAATGCTGATGTGGCAAAAGTCGCTGCTCCTACTTAAATCCTCCTTGTACCAGATAGGCTTGTGAAAATGTGCTAAACTGAACACAACTTTGTAGCATTTGAACTGTGCTTCCAGACCTCTGTAACTTAATTGCCAGCTTCCCAGACAGCAACTCCGTGTGAACTCCTGAAGTGCTGGTTTGGGACATACCGTTATCAGTCATTTTAACGGCAGCAGATTTGTTCAGTGGCGCCGTGTTGCCATCGTTTAAACCCTTTTTTCCCTCAAAAAGGGAAAACCTTTTTTCTCCACCAAAATGCCTCCCCATAATACAATCAGTAAGTACTAATGGAAAGGTCTTACTTACATTCCTAACTTCAACAAACCTACAAATTTTCTTTTGCAACATCAGACATATTTTCCTTGGGACAAACTCTTCACCAGTAATATTTTATAGACCCCAGACACCTTTACTGACTATCCCTCTAATAAACTATCTCATTCCCTACAAGAAGTCAATAAAATTCTTAGTGGTGGAGGGGAATGCAAAGCTCTGAGTCACAGTCCACATAACTTATTTAGTGCAGTACAGAAGTTTCTGCTTACTGTAACCCATAGATAACATATGGTATGTCATCAACAATACACTAAGAAAAAAAAAGAGGGAGTTTTACCAAAAAAAAAGAAATATTGGGCTCTTTATACACTTTGATGCAGTAATAGCATCTATAAAAGGCACTGTTACAATCTCAGTAGCATTGGAAGATGATAAATTACTTCAGTGTATTTCTTGAACAATGTTTTTTAGTGATTGTAATGCCATCATACTCCCTATCAAGTTGGCAGAGCTTTACTGTTTTCAAGTACCTTGTCATTGCAAAATGTTTCATGTTTTAACTTTATAATTATTTCCTTTTAAAAAAGCAAAATGCATTTCAATGTTTAAGTGTATGATGATATAATTTGCACTGTATACTAAAATTTAAAAATAACAAGGATACTTCAGCCAGTGTGCTTTCAATGTTTAAAAATAGAATATTAAAAGAATGTGGTAGCTACTGAAATTCATACATGACACCCATGCAATTTTTTTTTAAACTGCTTTTTCCCTCAGTATCCTCTGTCTGTGCACAAGGGCAATGAAAAATCAGCAAAGATGAATAATGCAAATGAGATAAATGTTTTAAACATATCAGGAAGGAAATTCTTGACAATAACACAGACAGTAATCAAGAAATGAGTTTACTTGTCTTGGAGAAATCAACAAGGTCTAGAGCAGCTCAGGATTCTTTCTAAGTGTAATGCTGTCTACAATTCCAAGTGTGTAATCATCCTATTGCATGCATATTGCTTATGTTAAATTAAACACTCATGGAGATATATGTATATATATATGGATATGAAACTGTGATGAATTTTACACTTGCTAGGTTTTTTTTAGGTTGTTTTTTGTTGTTTTTTTTTAACACTTTAACTGCAAAGTATAATCTACCACTTGCAGTGAACAGTAACAGGAATTAAAGGTACATAACATATCCAGCTGCCATTTTTAAATGTGTAGTTCTTTGAACATCGGAGGAATTGAAGTCTGACTACTTATGTATTCACGTGCTCCTTTGGTTTTCGACTACTTAGCTGAAGAACAGTGATGTGTTTTTCTTTCCTTCCGTTGTAATTCCATTTCACAATTTCTGTGTTTCCACTGCCATGCCCAGCTACAGAAATCAATAAAATAAGAGTGAACTTGCAAATCATCAGTCCTTGATATCTCCTCTCCCTATTTTTACAAAATTACATGATTTTAATTATAGTTGTACCTCTGCCCTATATATCAAATTAACTTGAAATCATTCTGCAGGTCTCAAAGATACTACAGACAAAGGTACCCACTGAAGTATCAACTAAACTCTGTTCACGTAAGAAACTAGACCTAAATTTAATAAATCAGTCATGGGTGTGAAGATGACACTACGTACTGTGAGACACAATATGAGAAAGTTATGGGGGAAAAAAGTGGCATCTGCTGATGGGTTTTCCAAAATGTGGTTAACATTTTCATTCGTATTTCTGATACAGCTAAGCATCACTATATTTTGGGGAACTATTTTTCCTTGTGATCTAAGAAGCTTGAAGGAAACAATGGTGTCAAAATTCACTTTCCAGTGGAGGATATGAAACAACGATATGAGATATACCTAACCCAGCAACCACCCAATCTGACAAGATTCAGCCATTCAAGTAGAAAACAACTGCGGATCAGCCAGAGTGGGTGAGATTGGTGCCAGCAGTACATCCAGGTTTCCCAGGCTGATGGACTGTCAGTTTTATTTGATGTCTCTCAATCTGAGTGCCTTTGCTACATTCTTTTAA